TCACAGAAAGATAGCACAACACCGAGACTAACTCCCAACCAGTAAGATGTTAGGTTTTAATCCAACCATAGCCGATATGAGAATCAATCTGCTTCACTGCTAGCTGTCTTTTAGAGAGCTCCTTTCTTCACTACAGCACTCATCTGTACCCTGAATGACATTAAATGTAAATGGTCTAAGACACACATTATGACACAAAGATTAACAGATTGAGTTTTAAAAAGCAAGATCACACTTTATGGTGTTTACAAGGAACCCACTTTAAATGTAAAAGCATAGATGGGTTAAAGGTAAAGAATGAAAAAGTATATACTCTGCAAATGCTATTGAAATCTGTATATTTATTATGTGTATGTTACATAACAAAAGAGCTTCAAAACACAGGGCAAAACTAGTGGAACTGAAGGGAGAACAGACAAATCCACAATTACACTTGGAGACTTTTCAATTATTCTCTCAGTTATTGATACAACAGTAGACAGGTAACCAGTAAGAATAAACACAACAATCAACCACGTTGATCTAATTGACTTGAATAGAATATTCTATTCAATAACGACAGAATACACATTCTTTTCAAGTCTACATGAATCATTCAACAAGATTATTCTAGTTAATATAGCAAACTTTTTCAAGCTGAAAAGAAGCAAAGTTTGTTCTGTGATCATAAGAGAGATCTCAAATCATGCCTCATCTTATACCTCAAGAAACAGGAAAAAATAAAATAAACCCAAGGCAAGAAGAAAGAAGGAAATACTAAAGATAAATGAAAATCAATAAAATTGAAAATACAAAAATAGTAGGGAAAAATCATGAAACCAAAAGTTGTTCTTTTAAAAAAATCAATAAATTCAATTAACCCTTAGCCAAACTGACCAAGGGAAAAAAAGAGACAAGATATAACCTATCAACAGCAAGAATTAAAGAGATGACAGCACTACAGATACTGTAAATATGAAGATGATAATCAGGAAATATGAACAGCTTTATACAAACATATTCAACCACTCAGATGAACTGGACAAAGCCCTTGCAAGCTACCAGCCCTGATGAGTTTTCTCAGGGGTTAAAGCATGAGTCTGCAGCCCAAAGGCTAGCGGGTTTGATTTCCAGTCAAGGACACCTACTTTGATTGCAGGTTCACTCCCCACCCCTGGTCAGGACTCCTGCAGCAGGCAACCAGTCAATGTGTCTCTCTCACATAGATGTTTCTCTCTCCCCTCCTCCTCCCTCCCTTTCACTCTCTCTAAACATTGATGGAAAAAATATCCTCGGGGAGGATTTAAAAAAGAAACGAAAAGAAAAACACAAGCTACCAAAGCTCACTCAAGAAGAAACAGAAGATCAATATATAAAAATAAATAAATAGATGAAACATTTTTTAGCTTAAAGAAATCAATTGTATTCTATACACTAGTAATGAGCAATCTGAAAATAAAATTAAGACAAATCCATTCACAGTAGCACAAAAAGAATAAGATAAGAATAAATTTAACAAAGAAGTGCAAGACTTGTACATCGAAAACTATAAAAACAGTACTGACAAAAATTTACAAGTAGCTGAATAATTGGAGAGACATCCCGTGTTCAAGGATGAGAAGACCTGTATGATAAAGGTGGCAATTCCCTCCAAATTGATCTCTAGATTTAACACCATTCCTATCAAAATTCCAGAAGCCTTTTTCTCAGAAAGCAGATACTAAAATGAACAGTGGTTCCCCTTATCTACAGAGGATTCTTGTCAAGACCCCCAGAGGATGCCTGAAATGGTAAGTCTTATATAAACTCTATTATTTCCTAGACATACATATCTATTATAAAAATTTAATTTCTACATTAAGCACAGTAAGAAATTAACAACTAATAATAAAATAGAATATGTAATAATATACTGTAATGAACTTTATGTGAATGTGGCATTATTAAGTGAAATAAGGGTTATTTGAACACAAGCATTGTGATACCAGGACAGTCAATCCGATAAGCAAGCCGGCTACTAAGTGACTAATGGGCAGGGAGCATCTACCTTGTGGAGACGCTGGACAAAGGGACGATTCTACTGCATATGAAAAAGCCATGGTCCTCGCATAGCCAAATAACTTTGAAAAACAAGTTGGGACAAATTTAAAACCTATGAGCATTTAAAATAGCATCAAAAGACAGAAAACATGTAGGGGAAAAAAATATGTGCAAGATCTGTATGCTGAAATTGACAAACACTGATGAAAGAAATCAAAGATAACTTGAATAAATGGAAACAAATACTGTGTTCATGGACTGAAAGGTTCAATATCGTTAAGGTGCCAATTCTTCCGAAGTATGAATTCAATTCAAGTCCAGTCAAACTCCCAGTAGGATTTTTTGTAGAAATCAACAACCTGATTCTTAAATTTATATAAGAAGGCATATGAACTAGAATAGTAAAATAAAATAAAATTTAAGATGAACAAAGTTGGAGAATGCACACTACCTGATTTCAAGACTTACTATAAAGCTACAGTATTCAAGACTGTGTGGTATTGGTGAAGAGATAAATGCATGGATCGATAGAACAGAATAGGGAATCCAGAAATAGAGTCACACAAATATGGGCAACTTATTTTTCACAAGGTGCAAAAGCAATTCAATGGCGCTGGAACAAATGATCGGACATCCATAAGCAAAATAATGAAGTTCAACCTAGATGCCACATGATCTGTAGTAATTAGCTCAAAAATGGATTATACACCTGAATATAAAACCTAAACTCATAAAACTCCTAGAAGAAAACATGGCAGAAAATCTTCATAACCTTGGGTTAAAGAAAGATATTTTAGATGCGTTACCAAAAGCATAATCCATGAATGGAAAAAATTGACAAATTTTACTTGACCAAAATTTAAAATTTCTCTTCAGTAGGCACTGTTAAGAGAATTGAAAAGGCAAGCCACAGACTGGGAAAAACATATGCAAAATATATATCTTATATCTGGACTTATATCCAGAATATATTTTTTAAAAAAAAACACTTGAAATTCAATAATAAGAAGCAAGTAATTCAGTTTTTAAAAATAGGCAAAACAGCCCGGCCAGTATAGGTCAGTGGTTGAGTGTCGACCTAAAAACCAGGAAGTCACAGTTCCATTCCTGGTCAGGGCACATGCCCAGGTTGCAGGCTCCATCCCCAGTAGGGGGCGTGCAGGAGGCAGCTAATCAATGATTCTCTCTCATCTTTTTTTTTGTAATATATTTTTATTGATCTCAGAGAGGAAGGGAGGTAGACAGAGAAATAAAAACATCAATGATGAGAGAGAATCATTGATCGGCTGCCTCCTGCACACCCCACACTAGGGATCAAGCCCACAACCCGGGCATGTGCCCTGACCAGGAATCAAACTGTGACCTCCTGTTTCACAGGTTGACGCTCAACCACTGAGCCACACCGGCCAGGATCTCTCTCATCATTGATGTTTCTATCTCTCTCTCCCTCTCTCTTCCTCTCTGAAATCAATAAAAATATATATCTTTTTTAAAATAGGCAAAAGATTTGAACAGACACTTCACCAAAAAAAATATGAGAATGGCCAATTAGCGCCCAGAAAATGAAGCTCAGCATCTTTAGTCATTAACTAAAACCACAATGAGATACCACTGCCCACCTACCAGAGAGGTTTCGATGTTTTTAACTGACAATACCATATGTTGGAAAGGATGTGGAGCAACTGGCACACTCATACATTGCAAGGGGGGATGCAAAATGGTATGGTCACGTTAGAAAGCATTTTGGAAATTTCTTACAAAGTTCAGTATATACCAGTGATGGCGAACCTTTTGAGCTCGGCGTGTCAGCATTTTGAAACACCCTAACTTAACTCTGGTGCCATGTCACATACAGAAATTTTTTGATATTTGCAACCATAGTAAAACAAAGACTTATATTTTTGATATTTATTTTATATATTTAAATGCCATTTAACAAAGAAAAATCAACCAAAAAAATGAGTTCGTGTGTCACCTCTGACACACGTGTCATAGGTTCGCCATCACTGGTGTATACTCATCAAATGATTCAGCAGCCCAACTCCTAGGCATTTACCAAATGAAATACAAATGCACATTTACACAAAATCCCGTGTGCATATATTCTGGCCACACTTTCACAGTCACCCAACTTGGAAGCAACCTCAATATCCTTCAGCTGGTGAATGGATAAACTGTGCTACAAACCTATACAATGGACTCAGCAATAAAAAGGAAGAAACTATTGATACATTCAACAACTTCATGCATCTCAAATGCTAAATGGAAGGAGGCCATATGCTGTCTGATTCCTTATAAATGACATCCTGGAAAAGGCAAAACTGCAGAGGCAGAAAACAGGTCAGTGGTTGCCAGGGGGGTGGAAGGTGGGGCTGACGACAAAGACACAGGTGACAATTTGGGGAGATGATTGAAATGTTCTATGTCTTGATTACGGTGTTTACATGACTGTATGTGTTTGTCAAAATTCACAAAAGAACCAAGTCAAAGGGCCAACACGTCCCAGTTTCAAATCTTAACTACCACTTACAATAGCACCAGGAGACATGAAATATTACGTATCTTAAACAGGTTGGATTTCACTCAGTGAATTATATCCCAATAAAAAAGGGTAAATTTTCCTGTACGTAAATTCTACCTCAATATATTTTTTAAATGTGACGCCCATCTCTTATTTTATAACATAAAGTAGTATTTTGAACCATGTCTGGTCCATATTAGAGGCTTGATAAATATTCATTGAATAACTACAGTCACTTTTATTACAACTGACTTTTCATCATCACAGTGGCTATTGTTTTTGTCTGCTCAGCATCACACCCCCCACTGCCCTCTGTAACAGGCCCCCCACCGCCCTCTGTAACAGGCCCACCCCTCTGACCACAATAATCTGGCCCGTCATGAGGACATGACACAAACTCAGAGTTTTTCCTCAGGACGTTTTCCAATTGAAACTAGTGATAAAAGTACCTTTTTTCTTTGTGGGTAAGAATGTTTGTGAGAGCAGCTGAAGCAATGCCTTCTAGGAGAAGCTGGTCCTGAGCTTGAATCTAAAGGGGAGGAAGAAGCAAAAACGAAAGAGCAAAATAGAATGGACAGTGTCGAGGCCTTGGACCCACCAGTCCTGAGGCCACACCCACCCCCACCTTTTCCTGGGTTTGGGTGGCTCAGTGGGTTGGAGTGACTTTCCATACACCAAAAGTTTTCTGGTTCAATTCCCAGTCAGGGTACATACCGAGGTTTCAGGTTCTACCTATAGTCTGGGGGCATACGAGAGGTAATCAATCAATGTTTCTCTCTCACATTGATCTATCTCTCTCAAAAAAAAATCAATAAAAAAATATCTTCAGGTAAGGATTAAAATAAAATTAGTTTCAGATTAACCAAAGAATTTATATGCCTTTATGCATAACCCATGGACACAGACAATAGTGCGGTGAAGGCCTAGGGAGAGGCAGGGGAGGGGTAGAGAGGATCAATGGGGGGTGAGGAAGGGAGGGGGACATCTATAATACCTTCAACAATAAACACAATTTAAAAAATAAATAAATAAAGCTCCCCAGTGATCCCAATGTGGGGCCCAGGTTGAGAACCCTTGACTCAAAGGTCCAGGTTTGCCTTTACCACCGAAGGGACTTCCTGCACCCCTTTCCCACCAGAATTGCGAAGGTGCACGATCCCTCACAGAATTAAATTGGGATCCAGAATTAAAATGGGATTTCCAGAATTAACTTGGGATCTCAGTTAAAACACTTTCCAGACAGCCCTAGCCATTTTTGCTCAGTGGATAGAGCATCGGCCTTCGGACTGAAGGGTCCCAGGTTCAGTTCCAGTCAAGGGCACATGCCCAGTAGAGGGGGGCGGGGCATGCAGGAGGCAACTGATCAGTGATTCTCTCTCATCATTGATGTTCCTAGTTCTCTCTCCTTCGCCCTTACTCTCTAGACTCAATAAAAAAAAATCCAAACTATTAAAACATACTTTTAAGGCAGAAAAATAAGGCTTTTTTAGGGGGGAGAATAGAGGTTTACTACATTGATTGTGCAGTGTTGTTTATTTAGGCCACAAAGGGAGGTAGTCAGAAGATGATAACCAAAACCTTGTTAAGTCCTGGTGACTCACCCCTTTTGCCAATCCAGCAGCTAACAAAACGGGAGAGACGCAGGAAGACATTATCTGAGTCTTGTGGCACCCTCATTACTCCACGTTGGGGTATGAGCACCTGAATCCTGACTCTTACACAACAGCAAGAGCAATAACAATAATAATAACACATGTTACCCAGACAGTGGGGCTTTCTGCCATATATTCATCCCATTTTCAGGGAGTGTCTGGAAGGACAAAGACCTTTTCTTTGGAGGAGACTTGCAGAGAGACAAAATGTGGGGTCTGTCACTGCGTTTATCCATCAGTCTGTCACCGGATTGCAAGGAACTAATCCATCACGCCATTATGCCTCCCTTTTCCAGTGAGGAGAGTTGCTGCCCAGTTCTCAATGCGGCCTTTTAGACAGAATAAAGCTGTCCTGGCGACGCGTTCCATTGTGCTCTCTGGTGAGTCTGAGCTCTCTGGTGAGTTGGATTCCAGCCCATGGGACAGAGAGGATGGCAGGTCGAAGACATTAGTTTGCACCCGCCGGAAAGGTTTGGATCCATACTGCCAAGTAGACCTGGCCTTGCACTGCCTTCCAGCTTTGGACTCCAGGACCAAGTGCGGCACCACTGAGGAGGCAGCCAGCCTCCGGCCGCTCTCTGGAAGGGTCCTTGTTTTACACATTTAATTTGTGGGCCCGGTGGGTGGGAAGTATGCACAAAGTTGACCAGCTGGCTTGGGGTTAAAAAGATGAGATTTGGACCCACGCAGGCGTCGGTTCTCTATTCGTCAGCTCGGGCTGCTGTAACAAAGGGCCACAACCTGGGGGCTTAAACAACGGAAATTCATTTTCTTCTGAGTTCTGAAGGCAAAAAGTCCAAGATCAGGGTGGGTTTCAGGTGAGAGTTCTCTTCCTGGTGAAGCATGGTAGCCATGCTTGGGTAAAAATTGCTGTTTAATATTTTAACCCTGCTGATCTGTAATTATTTGCTTGCTAAAATAATAGAAAAGTTATTTTGATTTTCTGAACTTATATAAGTTATCCCATTCGATTGAATACTCCATTGATTTGAATACCCCATTGATAGTTTTGAAACACATTCCCCTGCACCTGGAGACCAGGACAGCACAATTACTCAGTGGCTCCATATAATGTGTTTCCGTTGACTCAGTGGTCCCAAGACCCGAAACTATAATTAATCTTTGTAACTAACTTGCTCAATCTAAGCTTCTGTATCAAACTGCTTTTTGCAAACCAGGTTCCTCATTCCAAACCTCGAGATGTAATCAATACCTTTGTGATATTTGCCTATATGAGTCTGATGTTTCGGCCAAGAGGGACTATGAGATTTGGAGAGCATTGCCCCCTCGTAGTCCCAGCTTTGAAATAAATGTGGCTCCTTAATTCGACTTCTTAAGGCATCCTTGTGTGATTTGCAGGGTACATTACAACACTGGCTTACAGACAGCCACCTTCTTGCTGTGTCCTCGCATGCCAGAGAGAGATCTCTGGTGTCTCTTCCTCTTCTTACAAGGGTACTAGTCCGATCAGATCGGGGCGCACCTTTATGACCTCATTTAACCTTAATTACCTTCCTAGCTCCAAATGCAAGCAAGTCACACTGGGGGTTAGGGCTTCAACACATGATTGGGGGGAGACACAGTTCTGTTCAAAACAGGTTCCATCCCAGCTCTACCATCTATCTGTGTGACTCTGGGCCTCATTTTCATCACCTGGTCAAATGGAGGTAATGATATCTAATTCTACCCGGCCGGCGTGGCTCAGTGGTTGAGCATCGACCAAAGAACCAGGAGGTCATGGTTCAATTCCCAGTCAGGGAACATGCCCGGGTTACAGGCTTAATCCCCAGTGTGGGGTGTACAGGAGGTAGCCAATCAATGCTTCTCTCTCATCATTGATGTTTCTATCTCAACCCCCCATCCCTTCCTCTACAAAATCAATAAAAATATATGTAAAAATACACACACACACACACACACACACACACACACACACACACATATTTCCCAGAGTTTCTCACAGTTGAATGAGATGCTGCCTGCAAAGGGATTGGCATAGTACCTCCCACATAGTAAGTGCTAAAAAAAATCACTATTTTCTTTCAGTTTGGCAACTGAAGTTCAAACAACACTGACTCAGTCAAGCGGTGAAGTGAATTCAGTTGCATTTTGAGAGCCACCTGTTTCCTCCCTGCACTTGGGCCCACTACAGAGCCCACTTAGAACCCAACCTTTCGACAGAACTTGGATGCAGAACTTAGAAGACAGAACCTACACAGAACTTAGAAGACAGAAGAACTTTGCTGGAGAGAAGATGGCAAAAGATCCTGGACAGAACCTGGCTACCGAACTTGGTTGGAGAACCTAGACAGAACCTGGCTGAAGAACCCGGTTACAGAACCTGACGACTGAACCTGGCTGGAGAACCTAAACCGAACTTGGCTGGAGAACCTAGCGAGAGAACATGGCTACAGAACCTGGCTGAAGAACCTGGAGAACCTAGCAAGAGAACATGGGCACAGAACTTGGCTGGAGATTGTGGCTAAAGATCCTGGCAAGGCTGCTGATCAACTGAACGCTGTCTCCGTGTCATTCCTTCTTTGCCGACTCCGTCCACACCTTTGGGGACCCCTGGACCTGCTGGGGTTCGACCCCAGCAATATTACACAAAGTCAGTGAATTCCACCATGGACTCGATGAGTCTTCCCTGGGTTTGTAATACTTTTACTAAGTCTCTAAGTATGGAAGTATGAATACATCCACCAAATATCATCTTGAAAGTCATCACCTCAATAAAGACTATGCAACTCAAAAAAAAAAAAAAAAAAAGAACCCAACCTTTCACTTCCAGCTGAAACTAAAGTCAACATCCGCTACATCTATTCCCTCCAGCAGAGCTCTTATTTCCACTGAGGTATCATGGACTTGGGTTCTAATCCCAAGTGAGACCTGAGTTCAAATCCTGCTCCACTGCTCACTAGTTGTGTAAATTACACAGGGCATATATCCTCTTTGTCTTAGTCAGATCAGGCTGCCATAACAAAACGCCACAGATTGGGTGGCTTAAACAGCAAACATTTATTCAGCATAGTTCTGGACACCAGGAAGTCCAAGATCAAGGTGCCAGCCCATTCGGTTCCTGGTTAGAGCTCTCTCCTGGCTTGCAGACAGCTGCCTTCTCCCTGAATCTTCAAACAGTCAAGTAGAAGGGAGGGAGAGAAAGAGAGAGAAAGAGAGAGAGAGAGAGAGAGAGAGAGAGAGAGAGAGAGATCTAGACTCTTCCTCTTCTTAAAAGAACACTAATCCAATCATGAGAGTCCCATCTTAATGACCTCATCTACCCTAATTACGGCCCCACCTTCAAATGCCATCACCAGGGTGTTAACATATGAACTTTGAGGGGACACAAACGTGTGGTCCATAGCACTCTCTAAAATGGACTCACAGGATTCTTTCCATTAAAAGATACAAAAACCCAGACCAAAGCTGGACTAAGCACAAAAGGGACTTTGCTGATTCACAAACTGAGAAGTCCAAGGATGTTCTGGCTTGAGGGGGTCTGGATTCAGAGACTCCAATGACAACTAAATCTAGTCTCCTCTTTCCCCATCTCTTTCCTTGGAGTCGGTATTATTCTCAGGCAGGCTAGGATGCCTCTACCTCCTCTAGGCTCGCATTCTACATACAGCCTGTGCTCACCAAGCCAAAGAAAAAAACGAGCGGGCGCCTGAATCTCCAACAGAAGTTCCATGTCAGCTTTTCATTGGCCTCATACATGCACCCTCAACCAACTGCAGAGGCCAGAGGGGTACGATGTTCAAACTGGCCAGTTCTCAGGCACAAGGAGCTGACAGGAGATCATTTCTACTTAAGCTGTGTGCTAATAGCAGAAGAAGGGGGCAAAGGTCGGATAAGAAAAGACAGCAGATGCCCACTA